TCCCAGTACAAAAAAAAAAAAAAAAAGTTAAATAAATTGGCACCCTGGGAAACACAACCTCACCCTGCGTAAGCTCCTGCTGCCCCAGACTTCTCTGACATCTGAGCTGCAGGTCCGTGTGGATCTGAGGGGCCTCACTGGGGGCCGCGGTGACCCCTCCAGGGCGCCATGCGGGTGTGACACCGCCCCACAGGCACACACACTGTGTCCGTCCTTCCCGAGGATGCCTGGCGGAAGAGCAGGTCCTGTCCTCTCACTGCCTACCCTCCAGTTTCCTCGCGTCTCTTCTTCTTGCCCGACTGACCAGCAGAGCCTCTGGTGCTGCGTGGGGTGCAAGGCCTGAGGGGCAGCCCCTCGCTTACCTCAGGTAGAGAGCTTCACCTCTGGAGTCTCAGTGTGGGCTTTCCAGATGCCTTCATCAGGATGAAGATATTCCCTTCAATCTTCATTTGCTGAGTATTTGTTTAAAATCAAGAAATAGTGCTGGATTTTGTCAAGGGTTTATTCTACATCACTGAGTAGCCCAGGCCGGCCTGGAGCTTGTGATTCTCCTGCCAAGGCCTCCTGAGGAGCTGGACTGTAGGTGAGCACCAGCACCACATTTTACATGCAGACCAACCTTTCTGTGCCCGTGTTAAGCTCTGCCACGCATGCGTGGCTCGTGTTCTGTTTGCTGCTGGCCCGTTTGCTGGTGGTGCGCTCACTCACGGGGTTGCTGGGCTGCAGATGGACCCTCAGAACCTCTTTGTTAACTACACAGGCTTCCCAGGAGGAGCCAGACTCTTCCACCCTCTCTGCGCCGGTGTCCTTGCCTCCAGCTCGTTCGGCCTCTCCTGTGGGAAGCTGCTGGGTCCCTCAGCCTGCTGACGGCTCGTCACCTGGACTTCTACTTCCTCCTGAGTCTACTTCACTCATCTGTGCCTAGAACTTCTCCATCCCTGTGTATTATGACATTTGCGGTTTTATAGTATTTCTTCACAATCTTTCTAGTAGGTAAGCTTGGCACCGTTGCCCTTTCATTTTCTAGAAATGTAGCTATCATTTCCAAGAAAAGAGCGTTTACTTATCTCCACTCTAATCTTTATGCTTCCTCTGCATGCCTTTCAGCTCAGCTTAATTCTGTTTCTCTGGGTTTTATTGTTGTTTTCAGATTCTGGGGATTGGACACACGGCCCTAGGCGTGCTGAGCACGCTCCACGACAGCCCAGGCCTTTGTAAATGTTTGCTGTGTTTGTTTTTGTTTTGTTGGTACCGAGAACCAAACTCAGGGCCTCATGCGTGCCAGGCAGGAGCTGTGCCGCCGAGCTACAGCCCGGCCCTTGTAAATTGTATCTTGAGACAAAGTCTTGCTACAGTGCCCAGCCTGGCCTCCACCTTTGGATCCTCCTGAGAAGCTGGGCTTCTAGGCGTGAACCATCTCTGGTAAGCGGCCCACAAGCAGGGGTGAGGAGAGAACAGCTGGAGGTAGAGGTGGACAAGCAGCTGTGGGCTGAGGGGACAGCAGGGCTGCTGCATGCCGGACAGGGCCTCAGTTCCATCCTCCCCCCGCCCTGCGCCCAGCCACACATAGTCGGGCAGGCACCAGGTCTGCACGAAGGGTGCAGAACTCACCAGTCTCTTTTCCCTGAAGTCGATGCCCACCGTGGTGATAAATTTGGAATTAAATTTACCATCCGTGTACTGGTATAGAACACTGGTCTTCCCTACTCCGGAGTCACCCAGGGCTAAGAACTTGATGAGGTAATCGTAGTCTCCGTCAGACATAGTGAGGGGCTCGGTGTTCACCTGCAAGACACAAGCGAGCCTGCTGAGCCCACTGGAAGCGGCAGCCGCGTTCTGTGCAGAGGGGTGTTGTGCGCACAGTGGCCAGGCCCCGGGCGTGCTCAGCGACACACGGCTCCACCTTCCGTCACTCTGCTTCAGGACAAGACCCGAGGCAGAGTGACACAGGAAGACCAGCGGGCGGGCGCCATCTGCAGAAGCTGTCACAGCCGCGGGAGGAGCTGGTCCTGGAGTAAGGACTCCCTTTTCAGCCTCCTGAGCCGGTGTCTTTCCCAGGACATCTCAGCTATTTTTTTTTTATTATTGGTGGGTGAGACAGGGTCTCAGTATGCAGTTCAGGCTGGCCTTGAACTCAGGGCGATCCAAGGTGTGATACATGCTTGCTTTTGTCTTCTAGAGATGCAAACCCAGAGCACCGGGCCCACTGGAGACAGAGCGTCTGCCCGGGAAGTCAGTACCTCCCCGTCCCCACTTCCAAGTCTGAGAAACTATTCTGACAGCAGGAAACACTCTTTCCCCACCACCACCACCTCCGCCTGCCTGGGTGCACACATCCAGCGCCTCCACCAGGGCCGTGGACTCCTCCATCTCCTGCACCATCTGCAGCACCGGAGCCAGAGGGCATCTCTGCCCATGGGAGACAGCAACACCAGGAGGACCTGGGTCTCAGCTGTCTGCCCAGCCCCGCCCAACTCTGGGTGCTCCATGGCCCAAAGACCCGGACCGGCTCCGAGGGGGCTCTCAGAGCTGCACAGGTCTTCCCAGCAGAGGCTGGCCAGCTCTGAGCGGCGCCGGCCCACAGAGCTCATCCTCAGACCACTTTTGGCTCTTCTGGGCCCGGGTGGGTTCTAACCCCTGCAGTTCACCTAGATCGGTTTCAAGAGTTCAGTGACAAAAACATATTAAAATCCATCCTAAATGTACCCATCCACTACAGCAAGCTCATACTTGTTCCAAAGACTTGCAGCAAGCTTTAAAAACTGAGTTAAATCAGCTAGGTATAGTGGCCATGCCTGTCATCCCAGCACTTGGGAGGCTGAGGCAGGAGGATTGCCGCGTGTTCAAGGCCAGCCTGAACTACATAGTGAAACCCTGTCTCAAAAAGGAAAAGAACTGAGTTAAATCATGAGACTACAAAACAAAAGTACTTCTGACTGGTATAAAAAACCACTCTGGGCCAGACCACATGAACCTAACCAAACATCATAGAGTCGGGTTTTGATGGCTTTAATGCCCCTACTGGCTCTAGGCGGCAGATGGCTCTGACCCACATGGCGGTTCTCCAGGGCTCCCAGCAGCTACAGCTGGGTCAGTGTTTTTCCTACCCAGCTGGTACCAATAATCGAACCCACCTCCACCTCCAGCTAAGTCATGGGTGCTCTTGTTCGGTCAGACTGCTGGCAGCTCTTCCAAGTCATCCGCAGAAGGGAAATCAGGCTCAGAGCAGCGCAGACTGCCCCAGGCTAAGTTCGGGGGTTGAACACAGGACACACAAAGCGACAGCCAAAGACAACAGGGCGGTGAGCTCCCCTTGCACCCAACCCACAGACGTAGTTTGAGACAGGAACCTAACTGTAGGGGTTCTGCACCCAGAGTTCACCTGCCCCGTGCCTGGCTCCTACACTGAGGCTGGGCAGGGCCCGAGAGGGCTGACGGACAGCGACAGTCACCTCCCACGCTACCTGAAGGCCCGGCAGCCCAGCACCCAGCGCAGGCGGTCAGTGCAGGTCTCCCTGGAAACCGCACACGCTGTGGAGCCTGGCGAGCTGGCCCCGCTCAGCGACGCAAACTTCAGGAGAGGCGTGCGGGGCAGCGGCCTCCAGGGGACCCAGGCGTTTCCAAGGCTGCACGAGAGCACACAGGTGTGCTCTCCCAGCCACCTGCAGCGGGGCTCACTGCCGGCCCCGCCCGGCCTGGGCCCACAGAGTCATACGATGCTTGTCTTCCTGTGTCGGGCTTAGCATGACGGTCCCTGCCCACCCATGCTGTTGCAGAGGACAGGATTTCATTCTTTTGATGGATGAATAGTATTCATGTATTTTCTTTATCCATGTTTTATTAATTCTAACCTGCACACGTTTTCTAATTTTCTATTTTTAAAAACTGAGGTATATCTTCGTTATTTTGAACTGGAGATTGAACTCAGGGCCTTAGCACAGAGCTACAGCCCAGCCCGTTTTGTATTTTTTGTTGGATTTGAACTTGCAACCCTCCTGCCTCAGCCTCCCAGAGTGCCGGGATGGCAGGTGTGCACCAGCAGGGGTGTATATTATCATTCAGTCTTAATGCAAAGCAGGTTGTGCTGCTCCCGTCACCAGGTGTCACTGGAGACGCGGCTGCGTGGAAACACTTGTTGGCCTCTCCTAGCAAGACGGAGACAGCTGGGAGGATACACCGCACCGACACGCAGGGCGGTCTCCAGGAAGCACTGTCCTGCGTGTCAGGTAAGTGTGCACACACTCGGAACCCAGGCCGTGGGAAGCTGGCGGGCAGGCAGGGTGCCTCCCCCCACAGAGGTGCAGGAACCACTCAGCCCAAAGCTAAGGATCACAGGAACACAAGCGCATGGGCAGCACCAGGCCGCGGGTCTGCCCCCATGTGGCGAGCCTTACACAAGTTCCATCCCACAGCATCCTCTGCCAGTCCCAGCCACCGCAGTGGGGCCAGGACGCCTGCTTCCACCTGGCGAGAGCCTCGCTCCACAGAGAGGCGCCCTGCGATGGTTTTCTCCGGGGAATAAGAAGGAAATGGCTTCAGTTAAGAGAAATGGGAGTCTCCTGCCCCCCCACCATGGGCCCAAATTCCCCAAGAAGCTTCAGGCTAAAGTCAGTCATGGGCTCCGACCTTGGAACCCCAGGCACTGGGCAGAATCGTTTTCAGATCACTGCAGACAAAGCAGCCAGTTTCTGAAACATAAAACTTCCCTCTGTTTCCCACACCGAGTGTGGAGACTGAAAGGCAAAGAGCACATCGCGTCGGAGGGAAGCGGCCTGCACCATCTCACCTGCCCACCGCCCCCGAGCAGCTATGCGCCCACGGGACTCAGTCCGTGGGAGGAGTGGTGACCGCAGGCGTGGTGAATCCGCTCCTGCACTTGTCTGTCCTGGTCGCCTCAGTCCTTCCCAGGGAAAGCGGGACAACTGCACCCCTCACCTCCCGAGCACGTTGCTGTAAGTTTTCAGTGAAAGTTATTCCTAGCAGTGCTGCTGCCAATACCCTGGATTCCTCAGCGGGACACTCGGGAAGAAGCGCAGAGGGGTGCGGTCACCGCGGGCCTCCTCTGTGGTTCCTGCAGTCCCCCTGAGGACGGCGGGAGTCCCGCAGATCCCAGCCCTTGGCCATCCCTCCTCCAGGTGGAAGCCTTCGCCTCACTGCTCTGGCCCAGGAACCGCGCCATCGCCGCAGCTGTGCGGGCTGCTGCTCAGCCGTGGTGTGGACTCGCGTGGGGCCAGGGTCTGCCAGCCGGAGAGGCAGCTGCCGTGAGGGATTCCAGGCGAGCGCTCTTCTCCCACCACCACCTCCTGCTCCAGGGGCCCCAGGCAGGGACAGCTCAGCACCCCGTGTCACCTCTCTGTGTCCTGGGAAGGGTGCGGTGTAGCCACACTGGCCGTGGGCCAGGGCCACAGGTTAGGGTCACTCGGCGTTTGTTAATCCAATACACTGGCCGCTCAGAACGCCCGGCTTCCCCTGTAAATGTGCAGAGACTAACTCAGCGGATGGTGGTGTTCTAACAACAGCTTCGGAGAAGAAAATAATCTCGGTGCTGCTGAGACTGCACAGCCCGGGTTCCTTTTGGGGCCCAGAGAGCAGAGGCCCCTCTCCACACACGGGCTGCACTTCCCAGGGTCGCACCAGGAGCAGTGACAGCATGGGCTCCACAGGGTGCAGGGAAGGAGTCCAGAGGGGGAGCTCGCTCCCGATTCTGCCTTGTTGTGTTTTTTGCTTTAAATGATGGCTCTCTCGGCTCATTTCCTCACAGATGTTTTGGGCTGCAGTTATGGGGTTCTGAGGATCACCGAGCCCTGCTGCCGAGCGCTCTGGACAGTGGCCACTGCGCCACCTCTCCTCCCTTGCACTCAAACCCTGGCTGACTCAAACCGCAGCTTCTCAGAGTCATGCCTAGCGCCACACCGCCTGGAATGGGTGAAAGGCAGCAAGGCTGAGGCCTGCCTAGGGGTGTGGACCACCGCCCTGGCCCGAGTCACTGGCTCCCTCCAGATCCAGACCCCTTAGGTACCCAGGCCATGTCTCTGTCCCTCCTGCCTCCCTCCTCAGAAGCAGGACGGGGCCAGTCCTTAGGTCACTTGTGGGAAAGGAAGGAGCAAGCACAATACCACCCTAGGACGGGAAATCTGTGCCCTCAAAGAGAGTGGAGGGAACAGTGGGGAAGATACAGGTAACCAACTGCATCGATGATCCCTTCCTGCATCTTCAGGGACACCTTGGGGCCATCAGAAGTGCCTGCTACTCAGGAGGCTGAGGCAGGAGGGTCACCAGTTAGAGACTAAACTGGGTAACAACAAGTCTAAAATAAAATTTCTAAAAGTGCTGCAGATGTAGCTTAATGGTACAGAGATTGCCTTTATCTCTGGGGTTCAATTTGAAAGAAGAAAAAAAGGAAAGGAAGGAGTACAAGTTCCAGGGAGCATAGGAATCTAAGTTGGGTAGAATACTCAAAAGTCCACATACACTTTGAAGAAGACAATGACATGTTGATGCAAGGAACCTAAAATGCTGGGAGTATAACACTCTGTGCACACAAAAATCCACTTTATCCTAAGGTATAGTACAGACAGTTTGTAATAGCTCAAACTTGGAAACAGCTCAACTGCCCATCAACTGGTGACTGGATAAAGGTGTTTTATATATATAAAATGGAGAACTACTCAGCCATAAAGACCGAGAAACCAGGGTGGGATTTAGCTCAGTAGCACTGCGTCTGCCTCACAAGTGCAAGGTCCTGAGTTAGGTCCCCGGTACAAAAATAAATAAATAAAATCAAACCCATAATAATGAGAAAGTAGAGACATTTATAGCTAAATCGATGCACACGGAGACCATACTCTTAGGTGAAATAAACAGGGCACACATGGGTAAATACCAAACAGTTTCTCTGGTGTGAGAAACTGAAAGTGTAAGTAAGGATCAAAATGTATGACAGAGGCCAGGCGTGGTGGCGCACGCCTGTGATCCCCGCACTCGGGAGGCTGAGGCAGGAGGATCGCTGTGAGTTCCAGACCAGCCTGAGCTACATAGTGAGTTCCAGGTCAGTCTCAACTACATAGTGAGACCCTGTCTCAAAAAAACAACAAAAATGTATGACAGATAATGAGAACAGGAAGAAAAGGTCTAAATAGGAGGAGGAAGTAGGAGGAGTAGGGGAAAGGAAAAAATATGAGAAAAGGAAACAAAGTCCTTACAAATAGGAGGAATGGAGGGATTGAAGGGAGGGCTGGGCAGTGGGGAAAAGTGAGGACCAAGACCTGCCATGCCGAGGTGCAGGATCGCAGCGATGAGTGTGACGGGGCTCTGTACCTGAAATGTCCCAATGAACTCGGTGAGGAGATAAATGACAGTGCAGGACGGCATAACCTCCGTTCACTCAGCCTTTCCTAAGGACTTAGAAGACCTCTCTTGTGTTGCATTTTAGCCACAAAACCCTTTGGCCCAGCGACAGCCCTCATGAAAGTGGCACGCGTGAGTGCTGGGGCCCGCGGAACGAGCCACGGCAGGGCCAGGGGTCCTAGGCACTCAGACAGACACACGCGCGCTCAGCTCTTCAGACACAGCTCCAAATTGAAAGCCCCGGCACGGGAAGGAGCAGACGGTGACTCCTTCAGCTTCTCTGCTCCCATAGTCTCTGCTGGAACAGACGCTCACGAGGGGAATGTGTCGGGCCGAGCGGAGGCCCGGACGGCCCACGCTTGTTAGTGGGGGGCACCTGGCTCAGTGACGCAAGACGCTCATGAACGTCAAGCGGGCAGAGATGAAGGAGCAAGACTGTCCAGTCCAGACGCTGGGCCGCGGATTGCTAGTGACTTCTGTGGTGCTCTTGGGAAACAGAATAGCTGTCACCCACGGGACACCACACGTCCCGAGACGGCTCGCATCTGTGTCCCCTCCCTCTGGAGGTGGTCACCGAGGGGACAGGGCAGGCCCTACCTGTTCCAGTGCTTTCTCCATGGCCCAGCAACTCCCAGGGCGTCCTGATGGGGCAGGTGCAGCTCCGCCCGTCCCCAGCAGCCCAGTCAGGAGCCGCGCCTGGAGTCCTTTCTCGGGGGTCGCCTCGGTGCCTTCAGCTGCTTCTCAATGCCCGGCCCTCACGGTGTCTCTCTCCTTTGGAGGCCGCTGGTCTCCTGACCGCTGCCGTCCTGCACGCTGCTTGTCCACTGTCCCCACCCGGCTGACCACAGCCAGCTGTCCTCAGACACTGTGTCACTGCACGGAGCTCTACAGCCCCTTTCTTCCTTCGCTCCCTCCGCTCCCTACTGACCCCACCAAGTGACTGCGGTGTCCTGGGCCCCGAGATAGCGGCACAGGCGTGGATTAGACGACGTTTGCTGGAGGCCCCACAGCCCCTGATAAGCAACCACCCTGCGTCCAGTATCCTGTCCACAGCTGCGGAAGGTGAGGCAGTGGCCATGTCCCTGAGCACTTGTCATCTGAGGAAAGGCAAGATGAAGTTGTGCATGACAAAGGACACAGCATTCTCCCCTGGGAGTCGTGTCCACACTGGGGGCGCCCCAGTGAGCGGGCCTGTGGCCTGGACCACAGCTCTGCACTGACTTCCTATGTCAACAGTGGGGCCGCATCTGACTGGGAGCGTTTACCGCAGCCCTCACCAAAGGACTCAGGACCAGGCACCCGGCAGGCGGTGTTTACAAAACAGGGGCTAGAGAGGGGTGGAGCGAGGCCTCGGCCAGCCCTGCGGTGGAGAAGCCAGTTTGTGAAGCGCTCAGTTTGCTGAGCATCGGGCGGGAGCCGGGCACCTGCCTCCCAGGATGCGCGTGGGCCGCACAGAAGCAGAGAGGGAGCCGATGCGGCAGGACCTGTGGTGCTGCACTTGCACGGCCCACCCACCCTCATCTCCTGCCTGCCTCTGCCTCCAGGCACCAGGATGAGGGGCCAGGCCTCAGTCACAGCTCTGTGCAAACAGGCACTGCCACCCTGGGAACAGAGGGGACAGTGGCTCAGAAACAGCAGGCCTCAGGGCCACGCCAGGGAGGCTGAGACAGAGGACACCAGCACACACAGCCCAGTGGCCAAGATGCAGGGTTCCCCACACAGCAGGGGAGGGCAACCCCAGGCCTGGAGCCACAGAAAGGCTTCCCGGTCACCCCTTGTGGCCCACGGGCCCAGCGCTCTGTGAGGTACAGGTCCAGGGCAACGGGGTGTACACGGCGGGCACCTCTGCTGCAGGGCCCAGTCCCCGGCCTGACCCAGCGCACCACCGGCCACACCTACCACCCTCCAGACAGTGGCCAGGCAGGAAACGTGTGTCAAGCCCTGCTGGAGTTGCTCAAGGCTGCGGCCTTCAGAGGAGAACACCATGCCCTCTGCTGTCGGTGTCATTTACACAGCGCCACCGGGGCAGGGATGGGCAAGGCCCGGTCCTCAGACCAGCCGTGCCCAAGGGCACAGACCCGTGTGTCCTGTGCACACCAGCGAGACAGCCACAGAGTCTGTGAGCTGCACGTGATCAGATCACACAGGACTGTGCAAGGCCAGGGCCTGTCAGGCACCCCAGGGAGAGGGCTCAGGGCCTCAGAGCGAGGGAGGAGGGTTCCACGCTGTCCCTGCCAGGCCCTGTGCTCTCAACTTCGCCCCTGCTCCGCCTGTGCCCGTGGCCTGTGCTGGCCTTTCCAGCCCGGGGGCTCTGGACCTCAAAGCACTGCAGCCAGTCAGCCTTTTATAGCCACTTCCCTTAGTAATGGAATTAAGTTAGTGGTCTGCATCACCGTCCCAGATGACGGCCTCTGTCTGTCCTTAGCACCCGGGGGCCTCGGGAGCAGGGGGGCCAGTGCTTTCCTGCGGCCCCACTTAGTCCTGCTCCTGGGTTCCAGTGCTGCTCTGTCCTCCTCACTGCAGCCCTAGGCCACGGACCCGGACGTGGCCCCCTGACCCGACGGCAGGTGGGACAGTGCGGGGGCGTCCAGAGCCGCGCTCACACAAGTCTGTGTCACCCGGGTTCCCTGATGCCGTTCCGGACGTCCGGACGCTCACTCCAGACGAGGGCAAACCCTCACATCGGGGATGCACAGTGAGCAGCCTGCGAGGCCCCTGCACTGGCCACACAGCCCCAACGGGAGCAGGAAGCACCTTCGGCACACAGTCCAGAGCGTGCACACTGGTCCACCTGACCCGTCCAGATTCCATGTGTGAACTTCACGGCAGCTTTCCTCAGTCACCAAACTTGGAAACCCTGAGATGCTCTTTGGTGGATGAATAAGGCAATGGAATATTATTCAGCCCTGAAAAGACATGCACTACCAAGCCCGGAGAAGCCAGGGTAGAAGTCTAGAGTACACTGCAAAGAGACAGCAGCCAACATGAGAAGGCCCGTGCCTTCTGATTCCAACACACAACTGCCAGAGTAGTCAGTGGCAGGGACAAGAGCCTGCCAGGGTCAGCATTTTCGGGGCACCGAAGCTACTCTGCATAACTACACGGTGGATGTTTGCCAAGACCCATAGGATGGGGACACTAGGAGTGGAGTGAATCCTAAAGTAAACATGAACTTGGGTGGGCCTGGAAGGCTGAGGCAGGAGGATCACTTGAGCTGAGGTGTTCTAGACCAGCCAGGAAAACAGTGAGACAATATCTCACAACAAAGAAACAAGAAAACTATGGATTTGGGTGATAATATGTATCGATGTAAGTTCATAACAAATCGTGCTGTTCTTAAGAGCATGGCAACAAGTGTATTCCCAGCACTTGGGAGGCTGAGGCAGGAGGATCACAAGTTTAAGGCCAGGCCAGGCTACATAGTGAGACCCCGTCCCTGCAAACAGGAAGATCCACTCTACTTACTATGGGCTCTGACAGAGGAAGGCTGCACACAGCAGAGTATCGGAACTGTGTATTTTCCTGCTCAATTTTACATGAACTTAAAATTCCTTTCAAAAAGTAAAGTCTATTTTTGAAAAGTTGAATCTTTAGAAGCAGTTTTCAGTGGACACGTTGCCCTCGTCAGTATCTGTCTCCCACCTGATGACACTGCGTCCGTCCTGCGGTAAGGCTCTGTCTGACACCTGCTGGGCGGCTCTGTGTGCAGCCTTCCCGTCCCCCAGCACTGTGTCTGGGTGAGGATCGCGGCCCCAGGTCTGACAGAGACCGTCTGCAGCTGAGGGGTGACTTTTCCCTCCACTGTGTGATGTCCAGGTTTTGCTGTGTTCCTCTTTCTCGCCTCTTCCTCTCGCTCCTGGCCTCTGCTTTTCCTCGCCCCCTCTCCAGGGCGGAGGTAATCAGTTCAAGTATTTAAATGAACAGGAAGTGAGATGTCTAGTGAGTGCCAGGTACATGAACGTATCTGACCTCAAACCAAGCTTCAAAGGCACCATACTACGAGGCTGAGGCTGGAGGACCGCTGTGAGCTTGAGAGCAGACTGAACTACATAGTCAGTTCAAGGCCGGCCTGCACTTTAGTGAGACTGTCTCAAAAAAAAAAAGAAAGTACCTAGCTAGGTGTGGTGGTGCATGACCATGATCCCAGCACTGGGTAGGCTGAGGCAGATGGGTCACTATGAGTCCAAGGCCATCCTGTGCTACACAGTGAGACCCTGTCCCAAAATAAATAATAAATACTACCACATGGGCCCGAGATTTAGTCCAGCAGTACCACGCCTGCCTGGCAAGCACAAAGTCCTGAGTTTGACTCTCAGTACCGGAAACAAAAGTGCTGCATTATATTTATACTTATTTTATATTTATATATTTGCACAGATTGCTTATCTTGAGGGGTACTTGAGATGTAGTCACTTAGAAGCAGAAGTATTTTTTCTTCAGTATTGGTAATGGAACCCAGGGCCTTCACACTGAGCTACATCTCCAGCCCATTTTTCATTCTTAGACGGGGCCTCACTAAGTTGCTCAAGGTGGGCCTGAATTTGTGATCCTCCTGCCTCAGCCTTCCAAAGTTCTGGGACTGTGGGTGTATGCTAGAGGTAATTACTATAGAAAAAATTCAACTAAACATGTGCCTCATCCTGCAGAGGAACTTGAAAAATTCATAAGCTATCTTCAGAATTTTTTTCAATATGACATTGGCCGTTAGGTCCTAGGCCTTGCACCTCAGTGGTAGCCCCTAGAAATTATTGGGTAATAGCTTTCAACACAGGCTGGCACCTCAGGAGATAAAGAAAGCTCTTGCACGTGTGGTGATGCAACCCTGCCAGAGGAGACAGCCTGTGTCAAAATCGCATCTTCTCTCTTGACTCTGAAAAGTTCCCCACCAGTTTCTACACTGGCCTGACTTGCCCTCGGCCCAGAACATGATCTCCCCAGGGGGCACCGCATGGCCAGGAAAGAATGGAGCCCACCATGGGCCCCTGCGACCCAGGGCCCTGAGCTCGAGAAAGCACCTTGGACAGGCAGAGGCACAGCCTGCAGCCCCGGCCAGGAGCCCAGACCCTCACTCCCCTCCTCCCTGCCAGGCCCCAAGCACTGTCCAGAGCTGTAGCTCACTGGGGGGTACCTGCAATTTACAGAACTTTTCAAGTGTGGGAGGAAGATGCACCCATTGCAGGACGGACTGAGCCGGGTCCGGAGAGTGCCCATCCTGAGAGTGCGCCCAAGAAACTCTGAGCCCAGCCCCCGCAGACCCTGCCAGGCCTGCGTGGGCAGAAAGGACAAACCGAGGGATCGCAGAGACCATGCAGGAGCACAGGACACTGCGCCCTGTGCCTCGGGCACGGCACAGAGACAGGTCCAGGCGAGTGCCCAGAAGGAAGAGGGCAGTGCAAGGAGGCTGGCGAGCAGCAGAGGCCATAGGGGGACAGGGAGGGCAGCCTGCACAGCCTCCTCAATGCCCAGCCTGGCCTCTGCACGGCTCAGTGAAAAACTCCCCGCATCCGAAGGATGGGACAGTGCAGCCCAGCTGCTGTGGAGGGAGCAGTGGAGGTCGGAAGCCAGCACCCCAAGGCCGGGGCACCCCTGCTCCACGTCCCCACGGCCACGCAGGACCCACTGCAGGGCCCGAGGAGGGCTCTGGGTGAGCAGCGGCACAGAGGAACCCCAGCCCTCCTCTCCTGCCGGGAGCCACCCAGCCGGCTGCAGCGCTGCCTCCCCAGCCCACGGCAGACACGTGCCTCTGGGGCTGTGGTGGCAGCCAGGTGGCCCAAGCACGAAGGACACGTGGGCTGGGCAGCTGGTGATGGCAGCACAACCAGGGATCCAATCAGGACAGGTCCCCAGCTGAAGATCAGTACGACACGGACCCAAGCTTCTGGTGGGGACGCAGTGGGAGAGGAAAGGCATTATGTAACCAGCGCTTGCTCAGCCCTCTAAATAAATCCTCCAAAGCAGGCTTCACTCAGTCCTCCAACAAGGGATGCCCTGCTGTAAGGAGAAGATAGTGAG